ATAAGATATCGATGTCATAGTCATAGTTGTCAGGCACCTTCAGAGCTAGTTGACCAAGAGTGTCACGTTATACCTACAAGGTACCTGTTAGAAATTTGCAAAGGTAATAACAGCAATGATTCAAAAATTATTTGTCGGATATTCCAAAGACTCATTGAGAGCCAACATTAGTTCAGGTTTTCATCTTCCATTGATAAAGGTTCAGTAGATATATTCCTGGCTTCTGAGCTAAAAACTTAGTTTGTCCCTTGGAAATTGCTATGAAACCTAAGAAATTGATGAGTTCATTACAAATTGATCTCAAGCACCGTTACTTGCCAGCCGAGATGGGAGGCAGGGGTGGGGGTTTGACGGAAACAAGAGTGGGTAGAAATGACTGTGGGACCCTCTAATCCTAACATGGCGAAAACCAAAATCTTTTCATTGAGCAAACATGGTTGAGAAAAAAACGATATGAATCATAGCATAACGTCGTAATGTATACATAAATTTTGAGATAATTTCAGGGAAAAAATATTGTTGTCTGAACTTAACATGAAATCACGCGGTTCTAAGTTCACTCCATGCCGGTCGGGTAAGACATTTTGCTTAGAAGACCAAGACCACAAGACCCATTTCCTGTTCGCAATTCGCATCTGTTAAGAAAGAAGATTGTACGAAAGCGTCCCTCCTCCTTCTGAAAGTCAAATTTGCATCTAATATAGCATCCGGGGCCAATGGTTATCAAGGTTGAGGTTCATGCCCAAAGAGGTACACATTATACGGAAAAGCGTGTATACATTTCAAAGCCGAAAGTCAAATAGTTGAAATGCAATCGGCTTCTGCATGGCTTTGGGGCTGAGGGTGATAGCACGCTCAGAAGGCTTCCACTTGTAATCATGCAAATTGCAATTTCCTTAATTGGGATTGGTTCAAAAATTCCTATTTGCTATTAACTCACTTGCCAATTTGTTATAGGACAGGTTGTTATCGGACCGTTCAATAAGCCGAACAAATTAAAAGCTGTAATTTA